CTCTGCACTATCATCACCATGGTGATCAAAGCCAGATGTGCTCACTTCTGTTGCCGCCAACAAATACAACTGTACCGCTCTTACAGTTGTCACTCTGCTCAGGTGCCACAGCCCTCTGGGGATTTATTATGCACTGCAGCAGCCCTAAAAAGACACCACAGCTCCTCTCTTGGACTGTCACGCACATTCTTCAAATGAAATAAGCTAAATTTGACTGATGAAAGTCAGCTATAATTGTTTTGTTTTATATATATATATATATATATATATATATATATATATATATATATGGCTATAATCACCGAACACCAACGGCGTTCTATTTTTATTTTAGAGCATTTGACAAGTAGAGAACCAGCTTCAGAATTGTTTTTTTTCAAAACGTATTTCTCTCCCCCTTCTCTCTGTCATTTCTAAATGTTCCCCACTGGTGTTATTCCAACATGTAGCCTAACTATGTTCTATTTAATCAGACTGATACGTGATCAGGGGCGTTTCTAGGATTCAAAGAAAGGGGGGGCTTAGCCCCAAGGGGAGCGGCATGTTTGCGCGTGCAATTTTTCTTTTGGGCCCATTTGGGGCCGCGGATATCCATTGTTTCACAGTTCATAGATTGGTTCAATCAGAAAGAGTGATTTTGCTCTGTAGTTTTGCTTGCATTCAGTATATGATAACACAAGAGACAGAATTTCAGGGTCATAGTGAAATTTGACAACACAAATATGAACTTTTCTCAAATAAAGAGAGAAATAATTTTCCTGCTTGTAAAGGAAAGACGGATAAACTAGCTTTCATATCCGCGTCACTCCCAAATCCTAACTCTTAAAGGGACCGCACACAATGGATGGAGAATGACAGTGACAGTGTCAACTTTATATCGTTAAGTATGATGATGGGCTATTGGATTGTTTGAAGGGGGAGAAAACATACAAACCAGAATGCATGCACATATGTAGCATGTTAGTTATAAATAACTTGTCCATATGATCAACAATAGTTTAATTTAATGACATCACCAAAATAAAAAATACATTTTTTTTTTTTTTTTTAAAGCCAATAATGCCAAATTATTTGGGGGGGGCTGAAGAACATTTTAGGGGGGCTTCAGCGAATGAAGTGAATGAACATGCAGAAAGTTAAGACTGCAGGATACCATTCAGCCGTCTGAAGAGAGAATAAATCGGTGCACTGGGACTGATAGCGAAATATTCGATATCTGTTGTGATATTTTGCATGATTGCCAAATATGTGCAATTTGTTTGAAAAGCGGCGAGGGATGCGTTTACCGTCTTCAATGCTTTTAACAAGAAAAACAACAAAACATCTCTGTGAGACAGAACAAAGACAAAGAGCTGAAAGGGGGCCAAAATGTACACCGGTGTACTGCGAGAGTGATCAAAGAAACACCGACAAGACACACACACAACAAAAAACACCTGCAGGGACAGATGGAGGTATAGCCCCGGTGTAGAAGAGAGAGGGCTGCTGCACACCGCTGCAAGATAAACCTGTAGAATAATAAAGAAGGTGGGGAAAATCCATAGTTGATTTAAGTGTTCGACCACAAACACTGCATAAGCACTTTGCACAGACATGAACATTTCGTCAGTCTGGCTTGATCTATTAACAGGAGAGAACAATGAGAGCCCGATTTGTCCCTGGGTGACCCCTATTAGGGTGTCGGTTTACCACCATAACTGTCTCATCCTGGATCTGAGCCCAGCAACAAGGTGACTCCGCTTTGGTTGTGCAATGATTAGTCAGGCTCTGCCTCAGAGTCATGCGCTGTGGTGCAGCTTCACAGTTAAGAAGAGAACAAAAAAAAAACAACACACAGCTGTGCGGTTGCGAGAGACAGAAAGGAGACGGCACATGCTAAAGACACAAACTCAGTTTCTGAGCACTTCAATTGATTTGAAGTGGGGAGCAAACGTTTTGGGAACAGCTCAAAGACTTCTGCATTGATGAACAGAGCAACTACAACAAATCTTTCACGTAGAAGCTAAACGTACAGACAGCGGGGTAAGAAATATGGAACAATGAGGCTAACGTGCGAGACTATTTCTATACAGGGAGCGGTTGCCAGGCAATGAACAGATATACCAGGAAGAAATAGCACATGACCTCTCTAAAATGTTTGTTTTTCAGTCATCCATCTCAGGCACGTATGATGCAACAGACGGCTCACGTTTCACTTGCTTAACGGCAAGAATCCTTTTAGGTCTTAAGCAGTGTGCGAAATACCCGTCGGGCAATTGAGGCATTAGTTAGCTTTTAAAATATATTCTAGTGACTATAGCGAGTGACTGATAACTGTCTTGTGTTTTTAGAGATCGCCCGAAATTTAGCTATTGAGGCTTTTAGGGGGTCTGCAGTGTCATTCAAGGAATCTGAGAACCTCTGTTTTTCCGAACAGTCTCTGTGCTTCGGTCTTTCATTCCTCACTACAGTGAACGTGTGCATGCTGTATGATCACACAGGGCTGTGGTTGAATAGAGAGCAGAAGCTGCCGAGCTGCTTCTTTCACTATGTAGCCTGTATCAACAATGCAAGGACACCATACTGCCCGGATTGAACATAAGAAACAGGGCTGTATTGCTCCTGTATTGCTCCTGTTATTGCTCCTGTTATTGCTCCTAACCACCTGATACAACTGTGACTGACACCATCAGCAGTATCTTACAAAATGATTCTGCCAGACAATGGAGAGGGATTTTTTGCACCATCAAATTCACCAGCAAGATGTGTACAGTATACAGCAGAGAGCTCACTCTTTGAAGAAACAGTGACAAATCTGTCGATCTGCTTTGTACTTTCCCCCTCCTCGACAAATCCTCACACACATTTTTAACTTCTTCTCCAATCAAAAGGACCCAGATTGCAATCTGCTACACAATATGTTTTGCTCCTCTTTATTGGGCCCGTAGATAAACCTCGTGGCTGGAACACAGGCCTGTGAGTAATGAAGGCTCCCTCACCATAACAAGATCCTACCCTCCTTATGCTCTGCTTCTCCTCTCAATTTGTAGTGTCTATGAGTTTAGCTGGTCATTTCCCCGCTCTCCTTGCAGAGAAACAGGCCTGACAATGTGTAATTTTTTTTTTTTTTAGATCTTGACAGCATACAGGCAATTAAAGAGAATGTATTGCCAAAATGCATGCAGCTCCAGGCTCCCACTCCTGTGTTGGACAAAATGTACTTCTGCCTAATTAACATTGTACTACTCATGTGTGTCTGTGCCAGTTAAGAAAGCCAAAGTTTTTGTAAATTACAGAACAGTGCACAAAAAAGTAGGATGGATAAAATGCTTAATTTATTCATTCTGAATTCTGGTGTGTTGTTAATGTATGTAAATCAGAAGAATGTTTACAGCACATTAATTAACTTGTATTAATAACATTGCATGTCCTCAGAAACAATGTTGGACAAAGAAGAATACCCACGTACAGAATATCATAGATCAAAATAACATTCGGGAAACTTAAAAAAAGGACCTCAGCGACACAGAAACTGAGATAATCCTCCGTGGCATTGGAAAGAAAAAGAAAAAACAAAACAACACAAATGAACTCTCTTCTGAGGCAGAGGCAGCAGCTTTACAAAAACAAAAAGCTGACTTATCAAAGACGGTGACTGTCCTTCTCAGAGAACCATGAAAAACCCTTAAAATAAAGTGGTTTGAATACTGTTCCAGAAACAGCAGACTGCGGCCAGCTAAAGCTGAATCAAGCTGAATCGAGGCCACTGGAGGAGCAACAACAAGTGCACCGCTGAGTGCATCACCGGGCAGGTGTTTGTCTCTGGCACCGCTCCAGATGGGGACAGTTGTGTCTCTCTCAGTGGTGAAGATATTCACCATCTGACAGGCTACAGCAAGCGAACCTTGTCAGATAGCGGGTTAACTGGTCGGCGGTTAACTCTCTCTCTCTCTGTAACTCTCAATTCTGTCTACAGTATAACCACATTATATGGGGATTTTTGGATTACAGTTTTCAGATGTTTTAAAGGAAGCATATGTGTAGCACAGTGCCTTTTTTTAATGAATTGTTTAACTCATAAAAGCGAGTGGTAAAAGTTAACAGAGCACTATACAAAGGTCATTCACAGGCTGAAACCAGCAACCATGGTCCACCGATATGTGCACATCTTTACAAAAGAGACATGTAGTAACACGCAGTTCTCTCTCGGCAGCAGATTGTCCAATTATGATGGAATGAGGACATTTACATCAAACTGACCCTCACAGCAGAAAGTGGGGGAACGCAATATTTGCTGCGTTCCAAATCGCATACTTCTTATTTATAGTACGTACTGCAGCTGCCCTTACAAAGTATGCACTGTTGCATGCCAGCATCCGTGGGACATTCTCATAATATTGCACCTCAAACTTTGACTCTCTTGCTCATATATCCTCTGCGATCGTGGGTCAGAATAGACAGAAAAGCCTCCTGGCTCGCATTCTGCTAAATGCCATCGGATGCAGTAGTGATACTGCATTTGACATACCATGTATTGGGACATAATACATCTTTATCTGGCATACTACATAGTATGGTGGCATTAGAACGTACAGAACATGAATTGAAAACTTGGGGGGAAAAAAAGAAGAGTGAATCATCCTTTGGGAGAATTTGGGCACAGATGATCTGAGCCCCTTGGGCCTCCAGAGTGTCGGTCTTTAGCTCTTTTCATCTGGCAAGTGCTGCAAATTCATTCCCAAAGTAATTACAAGCATATACAACTCAAGGCTGAATATTGAAGTCCTACTTGTTGCTAATCAAGCCGATTACTTGATCAATGCAAATATTTCAGGATAGCTGTTGTGAGGATGTTTCTGCTCACGAACTTGGTAAATAAAATAAACGCTAAGAGCCACACAGACATGGGAATGTATAATATCAGTCAGATGTTTGAAAACTTTGTTAATGATAAAAAAAGACGACACAACATTTTTATTGTTTTATTTTATTGTAAATGTTTCTATAAAAATGAGTGAATACAACAAATATGCTCATGATACGAGTAATCTTGGGGAGATAGGAGACGGAAGGCAGCATCAATTGTGGTTAGCTTGAGGGTGGATGAACTTTCTCGTTGCTTTTGTGCCACATTTTGAACAATAATACTCTCGGATAGTGTTCCCATTCTGCAGACTTGTTCTCACTGTGTACACATGTTCTCACTGCCAGTGACATAGAAACAAAGCAGTCTAGTACAACCAAAATCAACTTGTCGATGACATCCAATTGCTGTTATATCTTGCAAGTACAATCCTATTTAATAACTTGTATGTATTGGTCCTTTGTGTATATATATATATATATATATATTTGTAGTTTTATAGAACGCAGATAACTTTATTTATTTTTTCTTGAATACAAACAATTAGATTAATACTTTGAATATAAAAGACACCCCATCACAGGAATGGAAAAGACTCAGACACAAAATAATGAAATACAGAAAGTAATAAATGCAGATGTAAGCTTAAGCTCTTAATTGTAACATGAATATGAAAATAACTGAAAACTAAAATGCAGGTAGGACAAGATAATATGATAACGGTGTAAATAAATGACACAGCAAAGGTAATGATAAGAAATGCCAATGTGTAAAAGAATTCTCATTTAATCTTTGTATAAAATTGGATACTACCAGATTACAAAGAACGTGCTCAACTACATCACATCTTGTACTTTCAGAGAAAAACTGATACATTCCAATTCTTAGGAATATATAAATATATAAATGATTTGAATGTTTTTTGGCAGTGCACTTTACAGGATCAGGTAGAGACTGCTGAATCTATTTGGGCTGCTTTTTTCACTTTTGAACTGTAATGTTTGACACAAATATGCTTAAGTATAACCATTTATTTTAAAATATATTATCTATTTCGTGAAGAAACCTCTGAGGACATTATGTGGGCGAAGGTGTGACCAACTGTCCTCTACCTACTTGAATTCTCTTTTAGGATTTATACAAATTTAAGCAAATGTAAAAAATCCTTGTTTGGTTATTTAGCGTTAAGACTTGTAATTTAATTGCCCTTCATGCCTCGCAATTCTTTCAGAACGTTGTCTTACTGACTACATTTTCTGCTTGTTTACAAAAGCGGAGAAGCGAAATCTTTTTGGTCACATTCAGAGTGCGTTAATGTGTGTGTGGGCGCAAACATACTGTATGCTGTGTGTCCTTTCAGAGACAATGTGAAGACGAACCTCACAAGGCCCTGAGTCTGGCCAGCAGAGCCTCGAGATCAGACTCTCCCTTGGTGCTACAGTCGCTGAAGGCAGCACCAGCGGACGACGTCTGGAAGGCCGGAGGCTCTGCTTCAAGCTGCATCTCTTTCTCAGGCGGCTTAACCGTCTCTCTCTCCACCACCCTCTCCCTGTCCAGCCAGCGGCTGTGGCCCGGGGTGTTCTTGTACCTGCGGCTCGACTCCGAACACGCAGCAGCCTTGGCCCGGGCTGCTGATGGATGGCCCTCAGACTCGTTATGGGCCTCCTTGGCAGGGGGAGCTTTCACCACCGCTGAACCTAAATTTATATTCTGCCGAGAGCGAGACCTTTGTAAAGGTGGCTTGTTGTTTTCTGTGAGGAAAAAAAAAAACAACAAAAAAAAACAGAGACAAAAGCAGTGAGCACAACTGTGAGCATGAGGGAGGAGAGCGAGAAGAAGCGACTCCTTTAAGTAAATGAAAGCAAGGGGTTAATGAGATTACAGACTGAATTAGAAAAAAGAAAAAACAAGCAGCGGAATACAACAGGAAGTCATTCTGCAGCAAATAAAAATTGTTTTATACATACAGGTACATGGGTTAAAATCAAACAGTCAACCTTGTGGTTAAAGGACGACCCGCTGAGCCACGGACACCCCACATACAGAAAGCATTAGGAAACAATGACGAAGCACTCGTGCATATGCACAACAAAGCAAAGGTACACATAACCACATGAGCTCACTGTGCACACCGTTAGTCAGAATGAATACACACAAACACACGCCTTGGAAGTGAATGCGGCGTATACAAACGCTGATGAGGAAACGTTTCCTGCAGCAGACTGTGGCAAGCAGCAAGCTCAATATGATGAAATGGATATGGCTGATCAACCGTTACAGAAACTCAATAACATTGCGCGTCTCCTTTTTCCAATCTCCCAGTCTCTTTCCCTTTTCTCTTACATGACACCCTCTCGCCCGGCCCCACCTCCCCCGATTCCCCCATTATCATCCATTCTCCTTCCCCCATTCTTCATCTCAGCTCTCTGCTCCTACAGTAGTCCTCTTCATCTTTCTTATTTCTCTCACCTACCCCCCCAGCCCGCCTGCCTAGCCCCCCCCTGCCCGCCGCCCTCTCCTCTCCTCTGGTTTTCCGACTTAAAGCACACCCCCACACAGTCAGTGGAGCACAGTGATGGCCAGATCAGACCTGTGTTCTGAATTATAATCCCTCTGAGTAGATCTTAGACTTCATCATCAGTATGTGTGCTGGAAGGAGAGGGTGAATCCATATTCATGTGACCTTGAGCGTGAGGCTGAGAGGAGTGACGCGGGGAAAGACATCACCGCATTTAAAATTTCCTGAGCCTGAAACGTCTGGCAAACAGGAGTCAAACACATCAGAGCAGAACAGAGCGACCCGCTCTGTCAGCCAATCGGTAATGAGTTTGGAGCGTGGCCAGTCAGTCATGACAGTGTGTTTTATGGGCCACGCTGACGAATGACAAGGAACGTCCCTGAACACAACCTCTGACAAATAAATAAGGATAAAGGGAGGAAAGAGAGCAGACAAGAAGGAACCGACTGCAAAATTAAGCAAAGAAATCCAACGATCTCACACACACACACACACACACACACACACACACACACACACACACACGTTCGGCAAACAAGAGGCAGTGGGGGATTTTAAAAGGATGAAATGAGTAGAGTGTGTTGCCTTCTTGCTGTGACTGAACAGTTACCACAGCTGCAAATGCAAGTCTCCTCTCATTATCTCACCCTCTTTTGCTCTCTCTTACTGTTGTTGCAGTCTCAATCTTAAAAAGATGACAATTATTCCCCCACTGTCGATCCGGTGCTCCCCGATCCCATCCGGTTCCTCTCTCCTCCCTCTTAAAACCTGTCATCTACACCTCCCCCCCCCCCTCCCTGTGTGTGTGTGTCTTTGTGCTTGGATCAGTCCAATATCTCACAAGCACACATTTCCTTTACAAATAACACACTCTCAGTTTCTGATGTTGAGAAAATGATCAAATGTGTTATCAGCAATTTACATTTTAATATCTTGTTTACACTTCTATCGAATTCTTTAACTGATGTTAATATCTTGTTTACACTTCTGTCGAATTTTTTAACTGAAGCCATCGCTGTCTTCTTGGAGAGAAAGAAAGAGAACATGCTGGCGGGTATTATCAGACATCAGTTAATGTCAAAATTCAAACATCAGCACCTTGTTTATTTTAGCATTTATTACCACATTTTTACTTTTTTCTAATCGGCGTGAACCTATCAATCCACACTCAAAAAAGAGATTAAAAACCCCACACTTCAATATAAGCTTCTGTTAAAAAGTGCGATTCTTTTCCTAACAGACCGCTGACCCTTTAGTGGGGAACCTGATCAAAGAGTCGGGCGGTTCGGTTTCTTCACACTCCCGCCTGTGACACCTAGCTGCCCCTTCCTTTGAAGCCTCGCTAGCTTCTCAGTGTACGCCTTCATCTCAGGTGTAAAACACATCTGAGAGATGTAAAGCATGTCTCTTCCCGCAGGTTGTACTCCTTTAACCAACAACTGACACTGGTTCTTTAGGAGAACGAGTCAAGTGGAATTCGAAGACAAAACCGTCGCCTTTTATTGAAAACATGCTGTGATGGTGGGGCTGCGCATTTATCCCTCTGACACAGTTAGACACAGACTTAGATACCGGATAAGCAATGAGATACAACAAATCATCACACTGAGAGTTACTGCATTTCAATTCTGCTTAAACTTGGCTTTCAATTGCATATAAATGAAAGTTTTTGAATTTAGACTGGCATTAACTTATTTAAAAACACTAACAAGTACAAAAAAAACCTAAAATGATATCAACTGCCACACTGTCAGTAGTAAAAAGAGTACTACAACTATGTAGCATTGCAATCAAACAATATTGTTAAACTCACAATGGGAAGTCAAAAAATTATTGAAATTGATGCAGCAGAACCAGAGATAACTCAAATTCCAAGCCTTCCTTTTCTTTGGCGCCTACATTACCCACAATTCCACTTGACCGCAGGCTGTTTGGTCGGAGAATTGGGTGTGTTGTGCTAATAGCGGCTAACCTCGCCTCTAGCATCAAGCAGAAATGAACTAACTCCACACCCCCAGATTCTAAAGACTCAGGTGACATCACTTGAGGCAATTTATCGGATTCCGCAGCGCCACTAAAGACTTTATACAACTTTTTCACAAAGAAGTAGCACTCCCCAAGACCTGTTAATGACCCTTGATGTATGACATGGGTTCTCCGTTAACAATAGGCAGGGACAAAAAGGGCAACATTTTGGACAGTCGCCAAAGGGATGCATTTTTCACTTAAATGTTGACATCTGGACATTGTTTATCGCCATTTCAGGGTCACTTTCATCCATTTAAATTGAACACTTTAACAACACCAAATGTGTGCATGTCCTTGTAAACAAAATAGCTTCTTGCTTCAGTTATTTCCTTTGACCAGGAGGAGTTAGGGGCGAGTAGGGTTAGTTGGCATTGCAAGCTTTGCTGTTAGCTTGCCTCGGGTTGACTGCTCCTGCAGGCATGTTTCCAACAGCACTTTATTGTTCCTGCAGCACGTCGTTCTCTTCAAAGAGCAAGTTGGGGAAGGCAATGTAAAGGTTACACGGTTTTGATGCGTTTTGCATGCTGCATTTCTTTTGTCAGCATTTGGGTAGTGTAGCACACGGTGGATTCTTTTTACCTCCCCCAATAGAACCTGATCAATTTGGACATTTTTGATCTGTGCAGTGATGTCGTAACTTCTTGCACTCTTGTATCGATTTTCCAAAACGTTGCAGTTGATCTTCACACCGCGCCGCGATAGTCTATTGGAAAACCTTCCCTGTCCAATATTAGAAACGAGTGAGAGGTTTTATTCCATCTGCACATAGCAGCAAAAAGGAGTTCACATTTCCTCATGTAAATCCATTTATACTTGCTGCTTCAAATGATACAGATGAGCTTTTACTCATCTCTCTCCTCCTCCTCTGCTCTCTTGAAGTCGGGAGAAGTTAGAAGGCAGACAGCCTCAGCAGAGAGACAGAAAGTCAAGTCTAGACTGCAGCAGTGTTTGCCTGTCTTTTTCTTTCCTGACTGTTAAAGCCAAACCACCTGCCACCATTGAGGTGACAATGAACTCATCTCCACGAGGAGCTGTTAAGAGGCCGGAGAGAAACAGTCAACACGTAAAAAAAAAAAAAAAAAGCCTGAAGATTGGTATTTTCTGTATGTCTGTTAAAACATGAACACATTGCGATTCTGCTAAACTGCAGTCTATCACAGTCCTCAGTCTGCCGCCACCCTTAACTTTGCTGGGAGACAGACTGGAAAAGGCAAACACTTGAAAAAAATATTGATAAAAGAGCTGGCAGGCTGAGTTTGTTGTGTCTCTCACAGCTTTGCTGTAAAATGTGTCTTTAAACTGTAAGTCTCACAGCCCTCAGCCTTTTAACCGGTTACTGTCACTGGTTCTGTTGCAGCATGAGACAAGTCAAATCTCAAACAAAGCAGACTAATGTCCGCTCTGACTGGTTTGAGAATGTCATCAGGAACTTCAAGATGGAACCATGGTGGTTTATTAAATGTCTGATAGGGTGGCATTTTGTAGGAATGTAAAAGGCCCTGTCCAATACTGTTTGAGTGTTTCTATTTTTTTTTTCCAATCTGCAAATAGCTGCAGAGAGGAATTCACATTTTCTTCTCGTCAGATCATTTGGTCCACTTGCATTTGCCGCTGCTAATACAGATGCAGATGAGCCTCTCCTCTCATCTTCCACTCCCTCCCCGTCTCTCCGTTCTTATGAAGTTTGCAGTATTTGATCACTTTAAGAAGAGAGTAGTCATGCAGACTCAGAAAAATATAGAGAGTGAAGTGCCTTTTTTTTTTTTTTCCTCTAACTCTGTGCGCAGTGATTGACACAACAAGTTGAAGTTAGCGAGATCAAACACACACTTCCACAGCCGCCATAAAACCACAACACAGCTAGCTGGCGTGGCAGTTTCCTGCATGTTCTGTCTAACGATGACTATGTGCCCTGTTTTATTTTTGTTGCATCCATAAGTGGAGCATCTGGGGCCAGTTTACTGCACATGGAAATATATGGAACAAAAAAATCTATTTTGTGCCAAAGTTTTAAACTAGAAATATAATCAATGATTATTTCAATCATTGACTAAACCATCGCTTATTTGCTTAGATTATTCCTTTATTCTAGAAAATAGAGAGCAATCCTTCGCACGAGTTTCCAAGGCTGTACTTGACATTGATATTATTTTTGTCCGATTTAATAGAAAAATAAAAAAACAGTGAGCAAATCCTCATATTCGA